TTTGTTCTGACTTGGTCTAAAGTACTTTATTGACGGCCTAACTTTTTTCTCCCCACCGAATAATTAGATGACTCAAGGTCTCTCCTGCCAACTCATTTTCGCCAATTAGACAACTCTAATTAATTCCTAGACGTATATATCCCTTCTCTACGGGCTTAGAAGCTTCGAGAACACAGAGGTTTCGGGAGAAACGGACTGTATTAGTCTGAATTCGCCGGTTACTGCGAGTATTCGTACGTAGCTCGTACTCGGACAACTCTTGGGCATCATCGGACGATGCCAACCCACAGACAACTCGTTGCAGCAGTCAACTCGGTACGTGTGTACTAGCGGAGAGCTCACGCAGTCGAACTCTCTAGTGACAACCCAGACAACTCCTCAGACATAGACTAACTCACCAGTTAATAATCTATAATGATGATTATGAACTCATTAGGCAGTCTACCTCTTAGAAGACATCCTCAGAAAGCTCATGTTGGTCCGCATCCGCACCTTCTTACAAAAGGCGCGAATGATGTCGGCTTCGACGCCTCACGGCCTCATGGACAGACACACACACAAGATCCATACACGAACAACTCGCTTGTGTCTGTGTGGCTGACGCCAACACAATGAAACTCAGACTACTCCTAGTGCAGAGACCAGTACAGGAAAACTTACAACTTTCCTGTGATATTTTACTTATCAGTCAACTTATCAGTGAACTCTGTGTAAAATTTCTGTTAACTCAAGACTGTACAGACAATTCAAAGACTCTTCTATTGTTATTTTTCTGTTACTGTGATTTTAGTGTTTAATAAATTGTTAACTGTTACTGTTAAATAGTATCAGCCAACTCATTTACACCGTTCAACAGTCCCGACTGTTCTAGCATCCAAACATCCTAAAAAATACAGTCCACAAAGTCCCGGCTTCTCACTCAGCTGACTCAAAGTCAGAACAAAATTTTTTTGTAAAAAAAATTTTTAATGATTTATTTTTATTTAAATTTATTTTGGAATTTTTTATGAACTCATTAAAATTTAAATTTCATACTCACTATGGCGCATGCGTGCAGACTCGTACGCATACGTAGAAAACGTGAGACTTTTTCTCATCGCGAAAAGATTCTTTGTAAGTTTTTATGCGGGACTTTTGAAGGGTTAAGGCGGTTTGCGCGATGGGCGATGGAGCTGTCAGCTCATGACATGGTCGTTGAAAATAGAAAGGGAACTCTCAATGAAACCGTGGATACCCTTAGTTGGGTCTTTGAGCACAGCGACATACCTTATACTGCTAACCTTAATGTGAATTTGAATTGGTATGATAGAAAGGTGCACGTGGTGGAAAATTACAACGAGAAGGTAAATGGCGAACGATTGGAGTGAATAAATTGAGTCTCATTGTAAAAATAACGAGTGACTAAAGAACGCTGTAGTTAGTTTATTTGCGACAACGCTGAGTAAGGTAAGTCGTGTCACAAGAAATCGCTAAGAGACTGGTGAGTAGATGGACTATGAGAGTTCTACCACACTTTTTTTCTTTTTAGAGTGCTGTGATAGAACTCTCATAGCTGTGGACGCGAAAAGTAGAGGGTGAAGGTGTCTCTAAGGTTTTTATGGTAGAAAGCTGTAGACGTGAAAAGTGGGGGGGCGGAGGTGTCTCGAAGGTTTTTTGTGGTAGAACTCTTATAGCCGTAGAAGTGAAAAGTGAGGGAGTTCTTAGGTTGTATTGAGGCAGGAAGTCGAGGGAGAATTTAGGTAGGGGGTTAAGGGCGGATTCCTGAGGTAAGGTGTCGAACATAGATGGGGAAATCTTACTGAATAATTAATTGGTTGTGTATCTAAGTGTAGGAAACATCGATTAAAAAAAATATCTTGCCCGAGGAAAGCATTGATTGAAAAAAAAAATGATTACTAGGCGATTAACAAAAATTGAAAAGATAAGCATCATCTCGATTCTTCAAGCTTTACAACTAAAGCTAATGTGATGCATTGACCTGTAGCTACATAATCTTGAAATGCTATGAAATCTAGAAAAATGTCCTGTGGGAGGAAAACACGAGTAGGGAAGAAAGAAGTAAGGAGTAAGGCCTACCCTCTATTTATTGGGAGATTTTTTCTCGAACATCATCAGTCTTGCTTCAGACATAAGTCTTGTACAATTGTATTATGAATATGGAAAAGTTGTTAATAAGTAATCAATTTTACAAGTTATACATTCAAAATAGACTTGCGTCAGATCAAACTTTATGTAAAAAAATTAAACAATCTGTGCCAGAAGTGCAATTAGAATCAAAAAAACTAAAACCAGGAATCATTACCGGTGGATTCACTTGACATTTATTGGAATATACTTATATATATACAGATATCAATTATTGGATTATTCATCATGAATGTTTAATAAATAATGATGATATAGAACAACAAAATGACTACTACAAAATCAATCGATACATTCATGATTGTAACATTCATCATATTCCTGATATAAATTCATTAATGCATGTGTTCAATGATTAAAGAACACTTTTACAAATCATTTATATACAAGTTACAAAAGAAATATTTAATACGGTATTTAAAAATGATCAAATTTTTATCGAGCCATATTTTAAATTGATTGATTTAATGTTCGATAATGCTATATGTAAAGGGGAATATTACCATTTAGTGGATATTATTTTAATATAAATAGAAGCAAGAATTACAATTATCAAACTAAAAAACTTCAGGAAAAGTACTCTCAACGTATTGTAAATCAGGGAACAGCTGAAACACTAGTCGCCATGTGTTGCAGAATATTAAACAATATAAATTGAAGGAGCAATTGGTCATTATTACCATCATCATAATAATAAATAAAAAAATTTAATTAAAGTTTCATTTTTTGAATGTATTCAGAGCTGAAATTTTCAATCATAGAAAATTATCCAAAAACAACTCACATCATTGATATGAGTGGCTTCAGAATAAATAAAAAATTCTACAGCAAAAAAATGGCGTGTATTCGATTTGAGAGTTGTGAAATGTATTCAAGCTATTATAATATTGGAGAACATAGACTGTCACGAGAAGATAATACATCAACACGCTTCAACACCATGTTTGTTCATCGATTAAAAATGGATAATAGCCGCAATCATCAGAATTAAGGAGCAATTAATGATTTCATGCGTGGCATCGATAAAGAAGCAAGTTTTTTGAGAGGAATCATATGGTACAAAGGTGAATTAGTTAAACAAAACTGTTATGTCCGACTTTATGGTTACAATTTTTCTTTCCTTTTTTTTCCAAAAATAAACGCATACTTAATTTACCGATACGCTGACAAAATAATTTTTGTATTTGACGGAAATTGAGTTTCACGCTTCCTCATGAGAGAATTCATTTCCCATGCAGAAACCCGAAGCCCCTGCTTAATGGAAAAATTCGTTTTGTTTAAATTTTAGGTTCTTAAGCTGACTAAGCTGAGAAACAGGTCTTTATTTTTGCTACCTTACAAAATAGAGGCTATATTTAAATAAAAGGAATTTCATTGTAAGTACTTTTTAAATAAAACGCTGAAATCGAAAGCGCTTACGATGCTTTATCGCTCCGGTCTTCTTGGAAACCCCCGGCGACTTAGACCAAGTACCGAGTCTACCTGTAGACGAAACAATTTTTATCGGGGCTTTTTGTCACTGACCAGAGATTAGTCAAGACAGCCCGCGTATTTAGCGTCGCGAGAATTTTATGACGTCAGTTAGCTCAACGACGTCGAACGAGCAGTTAATTTCAAATCGAAGATTAGTTTGTGGCTAACAAATCAATAATCTAGGCATACCCTAGCAAGCCTATACTTAGAAATATATAGATATATTACGAAAACAACTGTCATTAAAGTGAAATAATTTGGGTGTAATCCGAACTTAAAGAAATTTCAAAAAGAAACAAAACCCGTGGTACAGTTCATTGATAGTGCCTTTCTGGACAACATCCCGACAACCTGCAGGTTCAATCCTTCCATCATCAGTCGTAGCTGTGTAGGATATCTATCTACAAAAAGGTAAGGTGCACAATTTTCTCGCTATTCGAGGAAAAGTCACTCAGCAAGAAAGGGTCAGAAGGATAGAGTCCTTCTGAACGATCCCTAAATTAAAAATAAAAATCAAAAGATAGAGGAATTGATTCGGTGCTTTTTGATACCTGGACAAAATATCCCCGTCAAAATATCCCGGACAAAATATTTCCGAACAAAATATCCCTGAGACAAAATGACTTCATACAAGATATCCCATTGACAGAATATCTTAAAAAAATTCTTATAGTCTCTACATACTAATAAAATAAATAGATATTATGTGAATTACATGGATTATTTTATTTTTTGTATTTTTTTCAAACTGAAATTACATTTATAATACTTCATGTTTCAACTTAAGACATGTTTATGTCAAATTCATATAAAAATATTCACTTCTTTCTGTACTGTCGAGATTACATATTATTAATAATAATTTTAAATTAACATTGGTTTAGTCTAACCTATACAGGAACGTAATATTGACATTGACTTAGTATGCCGTTATAGATAACAATATTCACATTATCACATGTTTTTACTTAGTAAATATCTTTTTTGGTCAATTTTATAAAAAAAGTAAAGTAAATGACTATATACTACTCATGTGGTGACACGCTACTTCGTCCGACGACAATAAATCCGCTACATTACATCCGTTTGAAGAAATGCGGTTTAAAAAGCAGACCAAATGTGAATTTTGGGTTATACAGAATATTTGGTCTGCTTTTTAAACACCTGCATTTCTTCAAACGGATGTAATGTCGCGGATTTATTGTCGTCGGACGAATAGTTACGGAACCACTCATGTTATCTTAAATTTTCACATAATAAATACTTTCTTTAATCGAATCTATAAAAAAAATATTTTTTTCTATTTTACATAACAACGTAGAAATAACATTAATTATATTGTTTATAACAGTGTTAAATAAAAATTTATCTCAATTACAACCTTATATTGATAGTACTTTTGCAATATTTTTCAAGTATTCTAATTTGTAATCGGAGTTGTAATTTATAACAATGCTTTTCAATCGATTATCATAGTCACGATAGGCTTTACGACGAGATATTGAGACATTTAATCCTGAATCTATTTGAGCGATTAACATTTCAGTTTTGCACGGTTCATCTTTAATTGCATTTAGAAACTGTCCAATAGATGCATGACAAACAGCAACACGGCGGTTGAAACCATTATGCCATTCTTCCATTAAATTGTTTGATCTAATATAATCATTACAAACAGCTTTATAACAATTCCACATTTTAATATTGAACCTTGGCTTATCGCGTTTTCTTCTATTGTGACGTGACTTACCAATCCACGTTATCTCAAAATACTCGAGTAATGTATTCAATTCATAATTATAACGATCATAATAGTCACTGCCTACAATTAACTCGTAACCACATATTACATCATCAGTCGGAAGAAATGGTAATGCCATAAGTAAGCGTATGTTATAAGCAAACGTTACATCTGTGTTGTATAGTTTTTGGAGCCCAGATAACTGAATGTGGCGCCAAATACATTGATTAAAATGGAAACTACACCCAGATATTTTCACTCCTGAATATATTCCTTTAAAAGCTTCAATAAATGCTTCTTCAAAATCGACTACAATACGCTTAGGTGAAAAATTTGGCAAACTTTGACGTAACACCTTCAAAAATTTTATGTAAGTAGATTTCGTTTTATCAGGTGATAATAAATAAACAAGTGGCACTGATTTACCATTCATGAAACCATAAATGGTATATAATTGCATAAAAATACTCGGTACACTTTTGAATACCATCACTCAGCCATTGATCACATTTACTTAAAAAATTTAAATTTTTGAGTGTTGTGAACACCAAAAATCTTCTTTTTGATCCACCGCTATCGTGAAGTAAGAATGACTCTCCATTGTGTGTACATTTAAACTGGTTTGGTAATTCTAATTCACCTCGAGATAACGGATTACTCAATTGAGGATTTTCTTTAACACGTACACGATGCACAGTTCGAACTAAAGATATTGGCTTTGGCAATAACGCAGTGACCGGTGATGATATACCTCGTAATACCTTAGACACGATCGTAGCAGGTTTTGAATCGTTTCCTTTAGCTTTCTTTACTACTTGACTTTTGATAATCTTCGTTTTCACTAAAGCAGCATTTCCAGCATGTTCGTGTTTTGGTATTTCACCAACTATATTGCCTGTACCCATTAAAATGGACCCATTAAAATTACAAATATTATTTATTCAACAATGAATACATATAAACTAATAAAATAAAATAATACCTGTTTTCAATTCACTGTCTGTATGAATTATTACATTGCAATTGGAATCAGAAGCACAACGCCACGATACATTACTTTTATTCACCTTCTTCCGTGTGTATAAAATTCCTTCATATAATAATAAGTCTTACCTTTTTGTGACAACACAAATTTTAGAGGCATTGTGTAGAACGGTCTTTCAAGAACTTGATTTGATTTGAAAATTTCTAATAAATAATTCACAAATATTGCTTAGAAACAATAGAAATACTAGCTCATAAAAATAGCAGCACTCCATATAATTACGAAATATACTAAAATAGATAGCAAGGTTTTCACTATTGCAAAACATAATTCCATAATTGAACGCTAGATAGCATTACAATACACAATGACATTTTAACGCCAAAGTACGAAATTATTCGATTGTATATATACAATTTTTAAGAATATTTTGTCAGGAAATTATAGTGTCTGGAGTAATTTTGTCTTGAAAATATTTTG